AATCATCAGACTTTCTATTTTGCATCAGGCATTCTCAAGGTTGTTTATAAGCATATACACACACTCTCTCTCTCTTTTTTATAAGTACTGCATCACATAAGAAAGAAGGGTAAAAGCAATAAGCAATGTGTTCCAATGTGACATCTTCTGATTTATACAGAAATATACAAAAGGTTCTGTTAGGTACTGGATGTTAATTAGATATGCACTCCATAAACAAAGGCACAAAATTCAAATAAAAGCTATAAATGTTTACAATATTTTGTAGTTTTTCATAGTATTTAAGGGAATTTGTTATTCAAATGGAGATGAGATGGCTAATAAAGATAAGTGGGGGTAATTGCCAAGAGAAATTAAAAGACAAAAAGGTAAAATGTGACAATTAAGAAGACAAAACATTCTTTGCCTTAAATATGTATAAGAGCTTAAGTTCATAAACAGTTCTTCAAAAGAATATGTCACAAGAACTGGGCAAAACGGACTTCAGGGAGAATGGACCTACAATATTGCATATTACATGGGGATTTCTTTGTTTCCTCCTTTGCTAAGAAGTGGCAATCACACGGTGCAGGGATCTGGTGAATAATAAAGAACTCACTCCTCTGAGCAATAATATTTTACAAAGGACCCCAACCGCCCCCTAGGAAAGCCCTGAGACACCTGACAATCTTCAGCAATAAAGTGGTTTTGTGGACATTCCCATAGCGATACTCTCCCGCATTCAGTTCATAGATGCTTTTAACCATTACGGGAAGCATTAACAAGACCATCGTGCTCATTCGCTGGAGAATAGAACCTTAGCACAGCGAAGGGAAGTAGGCTGCTGGATGGACCAACGTTTCTCAAAGCAAGCTCAGTGTTGCCTGAGGGGGAAAGACACCTTCAGGAAGGAGCTAAAAGGAAACCCACAATTTGGACTCGAGTTTGTTTCCGTCTATCTCTGGAATTCTGCCTCTGCGACAGCGCGTCCCGGAGTTGTGCAAACGAACACATCCAGCCTCGTGCCCGGCTCGCACTGGCTCTGTCGCCGGCAGGCTCGGGCTGCAGGGTGTCGCGGCCCCCGGCGTAGGGGGGGGAACGGGGGTCGGGAGGGGGGTCCGCGCGTCGCCAGGACAGCCCGAACACGCATGTCAAGGACTCTTAACCACCATGGACAGCTCACTGGCTTCCCCCAGCCAGCTTCGCGCTGTTCACAAACTCCACAGGAGCCACCAGCTAGGTTGATTTTTATGCCCTGGAGACATGCCATGTTCCACGGTCTACACCCCCCGCGATCGCCAACTGCAACCACTGAGCAGCTATATATAGACAGAGCGGGCATCGAGAATTAATAACCCTCCTTACCCTCACATCAGTCCTTTAAGGTACCACTGGATTCTAAGAATCAGACGGAGAGAGTTGGCAGAGAGAGCTTTGTTCCACGTCCCTTCATTTCCTCTCCTTGCCGGCGCGGCCCCTCACCCCGCCTTGGCTTTGCGGATTGTGTTAAATGAAATAAAACAGACGGGCCCCGGGGCTCTGGAGCTGCACCGACGGGAGGCGGGCTGGCAGAGGGCTAGTCCCGGGGCTTGGGGAAGAGGGAGTCGTCCCTGCACACCCCCATGGGGACCGGGACCTGGACCGGGACAGGGCCCAGGAGGGGGTGGTGGTGGAAAGGTGGGGTACATCTGCCCCCACCCTCCTCTTCCCCCACCCCCACTGGGAATTTATCGTCACCGTCTGCCAGGGGCTTATGTCAAGTTTGAGTCATAGATTGACCAGGAGGGAGAAGGGAGGGGAGAGCCCCGCTTGGAGGAAGTTCGCTCGCGCCTTCGGACCCTGTCCTCGGGTCATACTGTTCCCGAAGTTTCCTTTCGCCTGCAGCCAGGAGCGGGGGCCCTCCTGCGAGGGGCGGGAGGGCTGGGCTGGCGACTCTGGCTGTATCCAGGAGCGAAACCACGCGCAAAACCCAGCGGGATGGGGCGGGGCGTGAAGGCCTCATTTCTACCCCACGGGACAGAACGGATTCTGTGCGACAATCCGTAAACCAAATTCTCAGGGAAGGAAACCCCAAAACCCAGGAAACATAGCTAGACTGCCAAGGGGCTCCCAGGCCTCTGAAATTTCCAGCAAGCCTAGTATCCCCGGGAGCCAAGCCCGCATCCTCCTCGGGGATCGCATCTGCAACGGGCGAGCTAATTCTGTAGCGGGAGGCGGGGGGAAGCTGATAAAGATCGTCCACAGGTGCTCATGCCTCTTTCGAGATCCTGCACTGCTTCCCTGAGAGACACACGCCTCGCCTCGCTGAGTCCGGCGCGCAACCACTGAGCCAGGAGACCCCAGGGAGGGAGCGTGCAGCTTTCATGCTTGCTTTCCAGAGGCCTTAATTCTGACAAGAGTCCCAGGAGCAGGCAGATCCCGAAGACACCGTCATCACAAGCTGAAAGCGAAAGAGACACAACGCCCGTCTAACTGAGGGTGCCGGATGTCTTTGTGCCAGATGGGATGGGCACCCTACTCCGGGCGCTGCCTTGAGGAGAGACTGAGAGCTGCCCTGTTTTGCAGAGGTGGAGAATGGTGTTAGGGAAGTAAACAGCTTTCGAGGTCCCAGTGACTCCCGGGGGCAGCGCCTTGCAGACAGCAGGGCTCACATTTTAAGAAAGGACGATTCTTCTACTCACAGAGGAGCTGGGAACCAGCCAGGAAGGCTGTGTGGCACCGCCCCATCCGAGATCAGTTGCAGGTTGAGGGGTTGTCGTCTGAGCCAGGTGGGACTCTCCCTGTGGTCTCGCACAAGTTCAGAGTTGCCTACTTCGAGGAGCCAAGGACTCGGCCCAGCCAAGGGCATCTGTCAGGCATCAGTCCAGGATATCAGGACTCCTGTTCTTAACCGCTCCCCCTTCATCCCCCCACACCACCCCCTGCCACCCCCTCGCCCAACACACACACACACACAGGAGCACCATCCCTGCCCAGAAGACTCCTCGGAGGAGTTATGACCGTCGTGGGTTTAGGAGGTGTACAAGTACTCGGCCTTGGAGAACTGGCCCCTAGAGACCCCCATTTCCGAAAGACCTTCTCAGCTCACATTGGCTTGTGGCCTCAGGGAAAAGTGCCTCACTACTGAACTTTCTGGTCCTGTTTGGGGAAATCTGAACATGGCCCAGGACGTAGGGAAGGGTGAGGATCCTGTGAAACCCACTTTTCCAATAAGAGAATCCCATTAGTCAATTGCATGTCTAGGCATTTCTCCTGAGACAGTTCCGGCAGATGTCAGCAGCCAGCCCTATTCCTGGAGAAGGCAGCCTCTGTTTGGGTCTTATCATCTAACTAGGAAGAGATTTAATAATCACACACCCTTTCCTAAGCCTACTTGGGATTTAAATGCATTACATCCCCTTTTTTGCTACCTTGAGGTCAGCTGGCAATGGCCTCCTCTCAAGTCTCAGACCACATTCTAATAGAATCAAATAATAATTTTACTTGAGGTAATTTTGCAAACTTCTCTATGCAAACAAAGAAAAAGGAGAAGGAATGAGTTCAGTTGTTTGGTTTCATAAGATTTAGAAAAATAGCTTAGAGCTACAGACTGGCAAATGTTATTGGTAATAAGATAAGGGATGCTGATTGGTCATAAGGGAATTTCTGAGCCCAGGTGCACTGTTTCAAGAGCTATAGGGACCTTTTTGGTTTGTATGTTTATTTGCTTGTTGTTTGGGCTGAGGAGGGGAAAAGATGAAAAAGCTAAACATAAATGTTACGGTTTTTTACTTAATTGCAATAGGAGATATCCCTGGACATATACTTCAATTGGTTATTTTAACATGAATTTAGGAGTAAAACTGTCCTGAAAAGTTTAGAAAATCTCTTCTTAAAATTGGCATATAACGCTGCCATTGGGGACTGGAAGATGGAAGTCTGGGGCTTGCTCATGGGCTCGGCATTCGTGTAGGTGTAGATCTTACAATGCTAACTTGTCTTCACATGGAAATACTTCAGATTAAAGACAGGCCTTCAAATCCTCCTATTTGCTAAGGTGCATTTAAGTGATGGCAAGGCCTAAGCAAGCATTCAGCCTCTATTGGCACTCACTCTACGCCTAAGCACCCCCCCCATAAAAACCCCAAACCCCTCCTAGTGTGGAGTCATCTCATTTGTAGTCGTGTTCTCAGCATTATCCTGGAGGTTACTCAGTTATATTGGGAACTAGATTATGATGTCAGAAAAGTATCCTTTTCACAAAGGCAAGAAGTCAGGGTCCTGAGTATATATTGAGGAGAATTTCTACTCGAAGTAATAAACAGGGCAGCTTAGCAGAGGTAACTGCTTTCTAATAATTGCCTTTAGTGAGAACAGAAAAGCCTCCTTAGGAAGTTTTTAATTCATTTAAGACTTAATTTTACTTTTCTGAAGAACAGCAACAAAAATTATTTCTGGAAGAGACTGCTGAGAAGATCCCCTTCATTTGGCCAGAGGACCAGAGAAGACTGTAAATCAAGGAAAAGGTGAAGTAATACATTATTAGGAAGCTTCAGGATTCCAAGTATATAAAGACTATTTTTCCTGTGTCTATATTTTCTCTTTTTGTGGAGGAGAGGAAATTCTAAAAATACTTGATAGATGTTTTGCCATTAACACCAGAAAAGTGTGTGGGGAAAAGAAAGGAGGGAGGGCGGTCCATTTTGTTTCATTAGTAGGAAAAGCAACATGAATCAAAGCAGTCTATTGACGGCAGCCTTTAATTTATAATGTTCTGAGAGTATAATGAATTTATTTATGGCATAAGAGATTTGATATTTTCAACCTATGTTTTAACCTTTTATTGGGAGAGGGTTGACTTTTTGAAGCCTGAGTAGTTTGAAATTTGGCTAAGTACCTTTGGGTTTTTTATTGTGGAAGCAAATATTATCATTTTAATATTAAACAACTTGCAAGTATTAAGTAGTTCATTTGTGATTTCCTTTAAAAAAAATTTTTTTTACAGATTTTCCCCCTTCAGATCTAATGATTACATTAAGGCTCCTGCTTCTTTCTCGAAAGAATTTATTATAAATCAGAAAGTGTCCGAGGTTCAAAGGTTGACATTTCTGAGCGCCGATACTTTGTCTTTTCATGCCATGCAAACAGATCTAACATTTAGAAATTCTTAAACGAGGGAAATTGTGGAAATTCCCAGATTTTTTTTTCCAGTGGGAGGAAGCCAAGTTTTTTAAGTATGGAGTTTAGAGTAATCAAATGAGGGAGAAAGGAGCTTGTGAGAAGGAGTGACTCCCACCCAAACTAAGCAGCTAATGTTAAACTGCTAGCTATCTGCACTTAAAGAGGGTAAAGGGAGCCGAGATCAGCGAGGGAGAGGGCGCTGTTTCACCCACCCTCGGTAAAATCCGTGGTGCATCAGCCAGGAAGCCAGGCTTGATAAAAGTCAGGCTCCCTAAATCTCCTCAAATCTCCAAATCACACTCGCCTTCTAGAGAGTATTGAAACGTACCAGTGGGGCTGTCTATCTAGAAGACAAACATCCCTTGACTGGTTCCCAACTACCCGCGTTCATTTCAGAAAGACAGAGGAGTCCGTGGGGCGGGCGTTCACATCCGCTGCAATCCTTTCCTAGCTGATACTGCCCAGTAATTCAGAGCAGTCTTTCTTCCCCGCCCAATAGTTGGGGAAGAACCCCCTGCTTTCCCTTCGCTTCTCCGAGGCAGAGCCGCGTACAGCGATAGTTCCGCTTCATCTGCGGGCTGAAGCGACACGGATAGAGTCATCCCAGAATATGTAACAGGGGACTGGGCTGGGGGTGGGATGGGGTGGGGGCGAGAGAGTAGGCTGTCCGGGAAAGGGTGGGTTAGACTCTCGTCGGTGGGCGAAGGGGCCGTGTGCGCTCTCCAGGAGTGTCGGTCCACCTCGGCAATTCAAAAGAGGGTCTCCATCAAGTATGCGGGTTTTCTTGGACCAGCTCCAGATGCCCTCAGCTGTTCTAAGACAGCAAGAAATGTAATCTCGACCTGAAGTCTGAAACCTTTTTTTACTCTTCTGAGCGAAGGATCTACCCACCCCCCCCTTAGCCGATCCTCCCCACTCAGCGGGTCCCTGGAAAGAGCCACGGAGGAGGGCTCCCATGTCGCTCCCCAAGCTCCCGGGCGGACTTAGGGCTCCTTAAAGCCACGGGCCAACCGCCCGCGACCTCCCCGCGGAGGATTCCGGGCGTCCGCGCTCTCGGGCCCCTGCTCCTTGGCCTCCGCCTTGCCGGTTCGCCCCCGGCGGCCTCGGCGGCCTCCGCAGCCTCTGCGCCCGCGCGTTCAGCCGGGCGCCGTGACTGTTTGGGCCGCCCGCACGCCCTCGGGGACCTCAGCTCGCAGCTCCGCCGTGCAGTCTGGGGCCGGTCGGACCCAGCGGGAGCTGGCAGATCCGCTCACGCCGCCGACCCCGGGACGGCGCGGCGGGACCAGCGCTCTGGGGTGGGGCTCGGTGGACCTCCGGGCAGCGCCGGGGACCGCCGAGCCGGAGGCGCGGGGAGCTCCGCCGCTCGCAGTACACTCCCAGCTCAGGGATCCCCTCGGCTCGCTCGGGCCGCTCGGGGCCCGCTCTGGCCGCCCGTCGCCGCCCCCGCCCCCCGCGCGCCCGCGCCCTTGCTCGCCCCGCGCGCGTTCCAAGGGCGCCACCTCTTTGCGACTAGCTCACTTCTCCGGCAGGTTTGCCTGGGAGCGTGTGAACATTCCTCTGCTAGGCTTTCAACTCGCCTCCAACCTGCGCCGCCCGGCCAGCATGCCTCCCCGCCCGTGAAGCGGGGCTGCCGCTGCCCAGCCGCTCGGGCCGCCGCCTCCCCTCCGCGCCGCTATTAACCCGCCCTCGTTGCCACCTGGCCCTCCTGATCGACGACGCACGCACTTGAAACTTGTTCTCAGGGTGTGTGGAATCAACTTTCCGGAAGCAACCAGCCCACCAGAGGAGGTAGACAGACAGCTATGTATATAAATGTGGGTCTCTACAAGTGGCTCTGGAACAAGACGGCCTAGTTCGCAAAGAAGCTGACTTCAGAGGGGGAAACTTTCTTCTCTTTTTAGGAAGGGGTTAGCTCTGCTCCACGAACCTGGGAGAACTGCCGGCCAGATTTAATTAGACATTGATAGGGAAGACGTGTAAACACGCTGCTCATCACTGATGCATATATAAAAGCATTTCATGGTGGTTATTATTTCAGAGGAACGTCTCTGATTTTTGCTTTGTTTTGCTTTGTTTTCCTTTTGGTCCCTTTTTGCCTGTGTGGTTTTGGAAAAAGCACAGTTGCAGTAGCTGATTCCTATATAAGTAAGTGCTGAGAGGCTTCAGAGAAAGTTTTGTTGTTGTTGTTTTGTTTTTTTTTCCTTTGCAACTTGGGAGATGCCCTCGGTGCTACTTGAGAGCCAGCTAAAACGGGGAGCGTGGTAGTCCCGGGAGATGGAGATTCCGGACTGACATTTCGGGCCCCTTTCCACTCTGTTGCAGGTCGCGAGAGCGAGAGGATACGATGCTGCGGAGGCTGGTTCAGCAGTGGAGCGTCGCGGTGTTCCTGCTGAGCTACTCGGTGCCCTCCTGCGGGCGCTCGGTGGAGGAGCTCGGCCGCCGGCTGTAAGTGCCCCGTCCTCCTCCGGGCGCCGGGTGAGGGCTGGGAAGGCCAGTGGGAGAGGCCGCCAGGCTGGGGCGCTGCCGAGGGCTCGCAGCGGTCACTGATGCTCCTTGCCCGAGTTAAAAAGCGGTGAGAGTCGTCTACCTGCCGGGGAGGCTGAGACCGCGTTCTCAACCCCGGCGGGAGCACTGGTTGAACCCCAAGGGGAGACTGGCAAGAGACAGATTTTCCATGAGTTTCCGTAAGAGGGAGCGCAGAATCTCCTCTAGACAAAGATCATCTGCCTATAGTGAAAGGAAAAGGTTTTACTTCCAGGACCTGGGAAGGTTTTGAAACCCTGAGGATTGCAAGAGACAGATAACTCGGAAGAAGCTGAGGGAGCCGGGGGACATATGTCTGTGTGCGTTTGATTTACAGACTGAATGTGGGTGGCAGTTTGTGTGTGAAAAGCAAAAGCCTTACATCTAACTTTATTATGAATGACATAATTTTAAGCATATAAAATGGACCACATTACATAATGAAGGCATATTATATAATAAAGTAGTAACAACTTTACAATGGCACAACTCCAAAGTTAGTATTTATACAGTTCAGGAACGCTAGAGTGCTTGACTCCAAAATGAATATTAGGTGTGGAAACTTGTTTTTTCTTGGAATTATTGCTAACAGTTCTTTAATCTGGAGTCAAATATTTGCATTGTAGACCGAAAACTTGTATTTTGGCATTCTCATTTGGTGGTTCTTTTAAGGATAATTTTGACTTTAAGATAATCATACATCCACGCACACCAGAGAACTATTACCATGTTGTATGACTGAAAAGTTGGAAGAGCAGTCGAGTATCGCTATCTTAATAATCTGTTGGACCTAGCAGTACGGTAATGTATGTAATACCATCTTTGGGTGATCTTTAAGAGGCAGACTCAGTGTTCAGGACGGGAAAACCATAAAGTTTGAGAACTGAGAGGAGTTTGCCTCTGGAGAAGGAATTAAGGAGCTTTTACACTAACAATAAAATAGCAATAGCCAATATTTACAATCAAGTTTATGGTGCTTCCTTGTAAATTCCCGAGGGTGTACAAAAAGGCAACTATTTTATATGTGCCCTTGGTCTATTATTATTAGAGCAGAAAATCCTTAAATGAAATTACTTTAGACATGTCTGAACCTTGGCACCAAAATGAAAATCTATTACGAATCTCCTAAGGCTAATTGTGTAGAACATTGTACTGAAGATAAAGCTGCATTGTATTCTTCAAATCAACGTTTTGCTGATGTATTTCTGAAAATTGTCTTCAGACTTTTCCTCCTTTTAAGATTTGTATTAAATTATTTAAAGTCCATATATAAATATAGATGAAGAGTGAATTTTTTAAAAGCAAGCCTAAATACTGGCCAAGAAATACTGTCTTGGAACAGAGCCAGTTTTTTCTTTACAGTTGCTTGAGAAATACCTGTTTTCTCTTTTGAGAAACAGTAAATGGACCATGATTAAATCCACAGTTATGACATAAAAATAGTGCTAAGTTGTCCTAAAGGTTATTTTTAACTCTTTCTTTGTTGCACCTTGCAAAATACACATCAGAAACCATTTAACAGCCAGAGACTCTGTTATAGTTTTGTTTGTGGGTGAAATGTAATATTGTAGTTAAACACTCACACTCAGCAGATGGTTATAAAACTACCACAAAACATTCTTATAGTTAATGGCTAATAGATCATCATATTACAGCCATGGTTTTTCATGAAGGCTGAAATCATCTGTAGATGAAGATGTTTCATCAAATTATTACAGCCAAATGAAGTTTAAAAAAACAAGTCATTATTTTTGCTTTGCTGCCAAGTAACAGTAAATTTTGTGTGCTAGACAAAACATTAGTGTACTATTACACTAAATCAACCTAATTTCTTGAAAGAAATGTTAACATATAATCAAATCATATTACTTTTCACACCAAGTATTAGGAAACTGCTTTAGATGTTTTTTCTAACTAGGGAATAACTTTGGAGGGTGTGTGTGGGGAGGCGGGGGAGGACCACTACAACAATAACACTTCCTAAGCCATGCAAAGGAGGCAATTATAAGTTGTCATAGTCCAAAAGATTTTAATTAATGGGGCTAGAGCATGAAAAAATTGGAAGTTGGAAAGTGAGGCCTGTAGACATTCTTGTCCCAATGAACATGACTTTCAGCAGGTAGCAACCTTTGTGTTTAAGTTGGAGAGGGAATTCCAGCAGATTCAGAAACCTAAAACATAATTGGCTGATTTGCTTGGGAGCCAGACTGGGTCTATTCCATTTAATGAAAAGCATAACTTTTGACTGAGTCATTTGGGTTGGAAGGGACTTGTGGTGAGTCATCCTCACTCTAACACCCGAACCCTGACTCGTGCATGTACCACAGAACTTTTCTGCTCAAACCCAGACTCCTTCCTAAGCAGCTGAGCATCAGCACAAGCATGCCGCTCCTTCCTGTGTTGGAAGAGGCAGGCCTATCACTCCCTTTACTCCCTGTGTTCCTTGATAGAAACTTGAATTTACTCTTCTTCCCTGAAAACTCCCTTGAGAGTTACTTTTCTTTAGAGCAGAAGAGCTATATTTTGACTGAATTTATACTTATCTGTGTTAAGCATTTCCTCCATATTTCTGAAAATTTGTTACAATAATCAAAGGAGACCATAAATGTACCATATGAGGATTGTAACAAATGCCATGTGAACCACTGGGCTAGGAGATGTTTGCAGATGTATAGAGTAATAGACTATTATTGAAGCCATATTTATCACTTAAATATTTCAGAATTATCTAAGTGGAAAGCCTCCTTAATTTAGATTCATTGCTCCCCACCTATGTATATCTAGTTTGTACATGCTAGTGATTTACCCTTGTGCCGGTTCATGTCTTGTTTTGAAAATAAATAAAACACTCTAGGGATCTTATTCCCTTGTTGACCATAAAGATAGTATTATATTCCTGCTCTTCCGGTGCAGTTGCCCAATCAGAAATTCATTCTTCACAATATTTTCAATGCAGAAGTCTTTGAGCTGTTCCTTGTGTTCACAGCGTTTGAGATTTAGCATTTAAGAAAATCTGTGTTTTCTAATATTATGTTAACAATTACCCCTAAAAGGCAGAAAGAAGCTTGGTACCTCACAAGAGAGACACTGTTTTAAACTGGACAGAGTTGTGCCATCTTTGTAGACTTTTTATAAAACAGGAGGATAGCATGAGCCCTCCTTTCTCATGAGAACCATCCTGGGAAAGTGCAGCTCTTGGGTTAAGAAGGCACTGTGACTCACAGTTGACAGGCTGGCCAAGATGACAGGCATATATGCCAGGCAGAGGGGGCATATAAGCAGGGGTGGCCTGATTAGGACAGACCGACTATTAAAAGTTTTGGCTTCGAGTTAAGCTAGAATGGGCTATATTATACATTTGGAGAGCAATACAGATGGGGTGGTTATCTGCCAGGGATTGAGAAAGAAAGAAAAGCCCCAGATCCTATAAATGATCACTGGTTCAGAACTTCCTTTCATGTGACATTTTGCTAAAGGATACTTATTAAACTGCAATACTTATGAAAATATGCAATTAATTCAGACCTATTCTTTAAAAATGTTATTAGGGAGTATAAATGTATTGTACCAAAACCTCAAATTTGTATATTATTAAAAGTTTCCAGAATACTAACTGTTGCCATAAAGTGAGTGAATTTTAATCTAGTCACATGTGGCACCTTCAAAAAGGAAGAGAGACTCCTTCATGCCTCATTTAAACCAGGCTCCTATTAAATTCCTTTCCATTAAGTCATGTCTTTTTTGAACAAGCTGCATGGCTTAAAGTCGGTCCACACACTAAAATACTAAAAGGAAGCCGGTATTCTGGCTATAAGGTCTAGAGAAATAATGCCTGTATTTTCATTTCTTACTCTTGACTCACAGTATGACTAGAAAATCTCTCAGTTTCTCCCAGTGATAATCCAAACTCTAGAAATCCTAGTTCCTTATTTTGGAGGATGAAAATGGCCTTGCCGGAGCAGTAAGCTTGATCTTGAAGGAAACTGCCAAATTGCTATCCATTTGCCCCCTGTCCTTCATGGTTCCCACCACAGGCTTTTTACTCTATGCCCTTCACTTCTTGTTTCCTCAGCATACACTTCCACTTCCACAGGAGAAAGGATTGAGGTCGTTGAAAGGCAGTCTTTGGTCTCAGAATTAGAGGACCTGGTTTGTGTATCCCTGGTTCTGTCACTGAATCTCTCTGACCCTCAACTTCCCTATCTATAAAATGAAGATAATGCTATTTTTATTGTCCTATTTCTCTGAGGAGTTAAAGAAGTTGTACTAATGAAGGCAAACAAGGGACCCAGATTCTGTGTGTGAGAGAGGTAAGAATACAGGGGAGATAGCCCTGTGAAGTACCCTCAGACACTTGACAGCGAACCACTTTGAAGAGTTACACAGTGGTAGAAACTGGAGTAAGGTAAGGCAGAGCTGAAGCAGGCATGATATGACTGATTAATCTATGTGATCCCTGCATATGGTTAATAATATTCACACAGAATAATACAAGAATATGTGGATGGACATTTAGACAAGAGTCAGGGTGCCATCTAAGAGGATTGATGGGAAATTAGTTTGTTCTTTCCATTAGAGTGTTGTTTAAACCAAAAAGTCACTTCATACTTGTTCCTAGAGACATTTTTTAAGACAAGGAGAACAAGTAGAAAAGTGAATGTCTCAATTAAGTCCTAAGGATAATACCCTCTGCAATTCTAAATTAAAAAAAAAAGTAATTTGATGCATGGAAGAAATAAAATGATCTTAATTTAAACACAAAGAAACCCATTTTAAAGAGACCACCCACTACTTTACAGAAAAATACACATACTCTCTCTCTCTGACACTTGGCTTTCAAATAGAGGCTCCTGGTAGCCTATACTCTACTCCTCATATTAAAATTCAGTCTGAAAAAATAAATAAATAAAATAAAATAAAATTCAGTCTGTTAGGTAGTTCCCTAGACAGGCTCTACTGCCCACTTCATCCCCAGCCTCTGTTTGCCTTTACTCCTACAGCTTGCTGTTCTTTGAGATTCAGGGTTATTATTTTCTTACTAGGGGAGTAGTGTGTGTGGGTGTGCGTGCGCGCGTGTGCACCGGGGTGAGTACTCAAGTACATTCAGCCTCCTTTTAATTTCACGGGCTAGGACGTCTGGATTTATTTTCCCAGCACAAGTCTAAAAAACATGAAAAGCTCAGTTTTTTCTGTCCATTGCTGAGAATAACTGAATCATAATGTTTTAAGTTGAGAAGAGAGCATAGAAATCTCTGAATCGGACCCCTGCCTTTTAAATGGAGAGTCCCATGTTCTCACCGAAGCCACAGACCGGGAGTGGCATAAATGGGATTTGGGGCTGCAGACTCCAAACTGCCCACACTTCCGTTCCCTCTCTGCTCTTTTCCCGCTCCACATGCTTGCTTCCCTTCCAGCTTATGCCTTTCCTCTTGTCTTGGACGTCTATACCAACAACTAAAATATTATCATTTTCTTCCTCTCCTGCTGTTTTTCCCTTAAAGCAAAAGAGCTGTGTCTGAACATCAGCTCCTTCATGACAAGGGGAAATCTATCCAAGACTTACGGCGACGATTCTTCCTTCACCACCTGATCGCAGAAATCCACACAGCTGAAATCAGAGCTACCTCGGAGGTGTCCCCTAACTCCAAGCCTGCTCCCAACACAAAGAACCACCCCGTCCGATTCGGGTCTGATGATGAGGGCAGATACCTAACTCAGGAAACCAACAAGGTAGAGACATACAAAGAGCAGCCACTGAAGACACCTGGCAAGAAAAAGAAAGGCAAACCTGGAAAACGCAAGGAGCAGGAAAAAAAGAAACGGCGCACTCGGTCTGCCTGGCTCAACTCTGGCGTGGCTGAGAGTGGGCAAGAAGGGGACCACCCATATGACATCTCTGCAACATCGCCGGAGCTCAATTTACAGTAAGTGGCTTCTATGCCCCATAGCCTTTCTTTGGTGTGGCTCTCAGCTGGGGTGTGTAGGGTCCTTCCACCCACCGCGGCTTGAACAAACCTAGAATGTCCTTCCTTTCTGTGCCTCTATCCATTGCTCCACAATTTAAAAGCTTACAAAAGCAAGATGGCTCAGAATATTATCTGCCCTCAAGCAGTGTCCTCCCACCCCCTAAACACAAACGGGGCTTGGATAACCTGTGTCTCTTCCTCCACCATCACAACCCTAACACCAATCCTTTACTACGCTACCAAAGAATTTCTCTTCTTAGTCCGGCTTCAGAAGCCTGGGACCATCTTCATCATTTACTGCAGAGGTGTATTTATTTCCCTATTCTCGCACCTTGGCAAACTTTCTTGATCGTTTTGTCATTTCTTACTTTTTTTTTTCACTTCAGGGGCGAACCCAGAAGGCTTTGATATGATCTACAAACATTACAGAACAATACTGTACCATAGACAATTCTGAGCGGTCACATTTTCCATTTAATTATATTTAATTAAACCTTAAATTTATTTTCATTTAAATCAACATTAAACACTTAAACACACACTCTCAATTTATTTAATTAAATTTAACTCTGGTTTCTACCAACTCATGAAAAAAAAGTCATGAATGCTGAAAATTTTTAAGTTTTGACTTGGGAAGGACAAAAGTTTTTTCTCATGTATCTATTTATCCACTGGCAAGTTGAAGTAATTTTTCCAGGGTATTGCAGTAGGAATAATAAGACTTCACATTTACATGGCTCGTTCATCCTTGGCTCACGGATGCAGGTGGTAATGTCATTCACTGACTTTGGGGTCAAATACCTTCAGTTCAGTTCAAGTCTTGGGTCTGAACTTATTAAAGTCCACAACCGTGGGCAAGTTACATGGTCTAAGACTCACTTTTCTCTTCTGTGAAATGAAGATAATGATTGTAACAACCTCACAGAGCTGGGTGAAGATTAAGCGAGATTACATGGGTTACAGGCTTGTCATAGTAAACAATAAAGCATAACTTGTTGTTTTGGTACTTTTAGATCTAGTGCTGATTGTTCCATTTATCGGGATATGTGTGTTTCTGTGAGGCGAAAAAGCAGCAAATATTAACCTCATTTTATAAACCAGAAAGCCAAGGCAATCCATGGCTAAATGACCTTAACAGCCCTGGGAACTGGGATAGGTAGTCCTCAGAACTGGATTTGTTTCCCCATTTCTGGATATTTGGGCCAGCACTGTGTTAGTGCTGCCTCCTGATTCAGGCATTTTCACCGACAGGATCTTTTCTGGTTTTTACTTTTCAGTATCACTCTTCTGTGGGGTTTGAAAGAAAGAGGAAACCACACAAGGACATGTCATATGCAGCTAATGATCTCATTATTAGAGTCCCTCATTACTTCTCCAGGCCTTTCCTCTGACTAGTAGAGATAGGATTACAGGGTGATATTTCAAAGGGGAGTTTGAACCTACTTACCATCACTTGTCTCTTAGATTTAGGTTGACAAAACTCATCATTAAATAGCATATAAAATGATAATTATATTGGACAAATATTTCCACTTCAGTAATTAAGGAGTAATGACACTAGAGAAACCTTCAGCAGAGTGAATGACCTATTCTGCAAATATCTAACGGATCTGTAATGGGTAACAAACCCTGTAAATCTTGGCTCAAAGCACATATTCAGTGTATTTTAAGATAGGATCCTAACTGTGCATATTTATAACTAATGCAAGGGCTTTATTGTCAGAACCTATTTTTTATCCATTGTCTTACTCTGTGGGTACATACATTTATTAGAGTTCTGAAAACAAAAGTATACTTTTTTATGGATTTCATTTATTTAGGATTTGCAATGCTCTGAAGTATCTGGGAGTTTAATGAAATTCAGCACTCATCAATTCTTATGCCCAAAGCTACCCCTATGTTAAAGGAGATCTAGTAAAAATTAGGCAGTGGCCTAATCAAATCCAGACCTAGGACTGAAAGAAATAGAATGCTTCTGCTTTCTCCTTTCTGTTCCCTGGTTGTGAGGGACGTTCATGGAAAGCATTGTTTGTTTGGCAGCCGGATGTTGGCCCCCTCCCAGTACAACCCAACAGAGGTGCAGGGAAGATCGGGGAAATTTAGGAGTGTACTGATGAGACTCTATGGGGCCATGCAAATGTTCTAATCCAAAGAGAATCTTTTCAGAATAACTATTTTGCAGTTTTATAAGCCACCAACCTTTTATTAGTGTCCTCTCTTTAGTCTCTCTGCATTATTATACAGTGATCTGATGATATGGCAAGCACAAATTTTAGTAAAATATATGTATTTCTTAAGAGAAACTACTGAGCTAAAACTGTCTGGCTCCTCTCACATGAACCAGTGGGAGGTATATAGTTCAAATGTTGGAAATTACATTTTGGAATTTTTGATGTTGTAAATGAGATGTCCAGATACGGTAGGACTCATTTAATTGAGACCGTATATTTTGCCTTGGTAAATATTGACTTAGAAATAATACAAAAGCTTGTCAATATTCAAAAGACTCTAAAGTGTTGTCATACACACACACACACACACACACACACACACACACAAAACATACACATATACTTTCAGGTCATGTTATGTTTTACTTGGCTATTCCAAAACGTGCCATTATAACAAGCAAACTGGCTGGACAAGGGGAAAGATAATTAAAAGATCTTTTCCTTGGTCCTTTATTTCTTTTCTCTTTCCTTCCTTCTGAGGAAATAATTGTTCAAAATACTCGTCATTCCCTCCCTGCTTGCATCATTCTTAAGTTCAATTCATTAGATACCTTTCAGTACCAAAACATTTTAAAATTGATACAGCACACAAATTACTGAGTTTCACAGTCACCTTTTGGGCTTTATTCATAACATACATCCACCCACCACTAAAAATGTTAATCTTAAGTTATTTTCTCTGCAATTAGGAGCTATTTTGCCGTTCCAATCAAAACGATTGCTGAAGATGTCAATTTCTTAAGCCATTAAAACACTCTAAATGTTCAACTTGCTTTTCTTTCTTCAAGCTGCACAAAAAGTTCCTAAATTGTCAAGAGTTGGCTCTTCTGTAGGTCTCACCCCCATATGGGTCTACCATGTAAAACTCTGCCCACACTCTGGCTGTTAATGCAATGGCACAGCCAATCGAGTTCCATTCTATAGGTGTTTCCTTAGAAACCACTGAAATAGACACACAAAGAGAAGAGAAAGGGAGAGAGAAAGCAGAGAAAATGCTGCTGGCCCATCTTAAAATACTGTCACTACAGTGTTTTAGAAAGGGTTAGAAAAGGTGTCAATCCCAGGTGGTAATTTATTCTGCGTGATAAACACAGTGAGCTGAAATACTGCTATTTTATACTTTTAAATCAATTGATTCTTATTCCCTAATTTAAGATGGGTTTTCCCAATTTCTAATGCCAGATCAATTCCAAAAACCAGCAGAGTGAGAGACAAATAGTTCTTAATTTTGACTTCAAAAACTAAAATCCAAAAATAGTTTCATTCATTAGTGTTTAAGGACAGCTAATGGAATGACTGATATCATCAAATCACCAACCAAACATACTGTTCAATTACACATCCTTCCAACATTTACTCCAAATCACACACTCCACTCTCCTAACAGCTATTATCTTAGTGAAAGATTGGCCAAATGGAAACCTGAACAGAATAAGCAAATTGTGGATCACCCATGTCAGGCATCGCTGGGGAATAAACTTCTAGCAAGGTGTATTTGATGATGGATTGCACGACCTAGCCTTATTTCCAGACTCTCGAATGTGTCCCTTCTCCTCCCAGACTTTCCAGTTGGCAGCTTTGGAAAATTCTCCCAGGGTCTCCTTTTTCAGACAGAGTCTATAGAATTAGAAATGCAAGCCTTTTCTCTCCCTTCACTACATTGATCATTCAATCCAATTGAAGACCCTGCTGTAGCAAAGGTTCTGGAGAATCAGGTGGATCCCACTGATACCGCCTATTGGGAATATTTACAAGAAATCCCTGGAATCTTTTCCATTGTAATTCTGTGTTCCTTTATTTTTTAAGACTTCATTTGTTAAGGAGAATTAACCTATTTTCTCCTCTTCATTCCCTTCCTTCTCTTTTCAGGAGGCATTGAAATTTTTAGCAAAGACCTTCGGAGGACGTATTACAGGATTCCGTAATAGTGAACATATGGAAAGTATTAGAAATATTTATTGTCTGTAAATACTGTAAATGCATTGGAATAAAACTGTCTTCCCCATTGCTCTATGAAACTGCACATTGGTCATTGTGAATATTTTTTTTTTGCCAAGGCTAATCCAATTATTATTATCACAATTACCATAATTTATTTTGTCAACTGATGTATTTATTTTGTAAATGTATCTTGGTGCTGCTGAATTTCTCTATTTTTTTGTAACATAATGCACTTTAGATATACATATCAAGTATGTTGATAAATGACACAATAAAGTGTCTCTATTTTGTGGTTGATTTTAATAATGCCTAAATATAATTATCCAAACTGATTTTCCTCTGTGCATGTAAAAATAGCAGTATTTTAAATTTGTAAAGAATGTCTAATAAAATATAATCTAAATTACATCATGACTCAGAAGGTGAATTATGCATACCCTTTAAAATTTCTATTAGAAGGAACATGATGTAATATTTTTAACTGTATTTGAATATGGTTTTCAGTATAATATGTTTTTATTGGTACATATTCCAACATTTTCACATTAGCTTTTAGTTAAAAACCACTTAAAATGTATTTCGTCCAATATTTAAGTTCAGTTCAATAGAATGGCTGAACTATGTAGACATCTTTTTATGAGGTATGTCCAATTTGAAGTGAAGATGGGAGAGGGCAGGGAAAAAAGCAGAGAAGTCAGGAGAAAAGATTATAGAAATTCAGTCCAGAGAGTCAGCCAGAGCTGAGAAAAGGGAAAGAGGCAGATCAGGAACCTTAAGGCCAGGGGCAATTTTCACCAATGAGAAGTTTAATTTGAAAGAGCTTGCTCTTACTGGTAACAACAACAAGCATAAAAGAGCTACTTGAGAATTTTACCAGAGAAAGGGAAAGGGACCGAGATCTGGAAAATACGTAATAACTCAAAAAAATCTTCCCTGAGGAAGACTGCTTTCCTGTTGTATCACTCACGGCTCCAGGTACTTGGGTTGCCGACAGCATGGTGTGCAATATGCAATCACCTTTCCACTGTGACTATCATGCTACTTGTTCCTACCTCTATGTTCAGATGAATACGGACATCTTTTCTTCTACAGAATTTTTTCTTTAACTGTCCACAGCTTAGGACCCACCCATCAGTAAAACAATACAACAAAACAAAAAGTCTATGAATCAAGCAAGCACATATTTAGGAAGTATTCTGTTTATGGTCCCAATTCTGTTAGATACCTTTTAGATGTATGGAAGATGCACAAGAAGTAAAATACTATAACTGCCCTCATGACTCTCTCATTCTAGTGGGTAGATTATACATACATTTATAAGAAACAACTAAATGCTGGATTCAAGAAACTATTAAATGATCCAAAATTCTACAAACATTTTATTTTATTTTTTTAAGATTTTATTTATTTATTTGACAGAGACACAGCAAGAGAGGGAACACAAACAGGGGGAGTGGGAGAGGGAGAAGCCGTCTATCCGCTGAGCAGGGAGCCTGATGCGGGGCTCGATCCCAGGACCCTGGGAACATGACCTGAGCCGAAGGCAGATGCTTAACAACTGAGCCACCCAGGCGCCCTCCTACAAACATTTTAAAAAGGAAAGATACACACAAAGGGAGAGATTGGTCTGAGCGCTATGTGTTTAAAATAATGTTTCTGGGATATTCAAATATTCAAAGATTGAACTTATTCATATTTTCATTTGAGTCCCATAGCCTTCAAAACAGGACCCATCTTACTATTTTTTTGGTAAGAAATGTGGACCTATGTGAATAAGCAAAACCTAGAGTTTGTGCTTAGCTTCACATATGGATTTGCTGGATATGGTTTTTAGCATTCAAAAATTAAAGGCCAACACACTAGACCTGTATAATGCAACTAGTTTGGAGTACCATAACAACAGATATGACCACATTTTGCAAAACTCCATCTGAAACTCTAAATCTTAAGATTGCACTAAATCCATCTAAGTTGTTCACATGAAAAATGTGTTTTTTAAGCACTGGCTTGGTAAATACTTGAACATTAAGGCAAGGAAGTATCAGGTTCAGGTCATCTTTAAGTTTTTCTTCACCAATAGCCCATCCCTGAAAAGAAAAGGGGAAGAGGGAACTTGAGAATTTATGGTTATCAAATCTCACCAAAGCATTATTAATACAGTTATTGCCTTTAGAGTCATACGAAGGTCTTCGAGCAATGCTAAAGACTAAAATCATAGGATAAGGGATGGAGTGGGAAGATGAAGGAAGCAAAAAACCTTTTAAGAACAAATGGCAATTTTTTTTATGACATTGTCATTTTCTATGAAAGAAAAACAAATATATAATTTAAGATAATAAGTGTTTAAATAGAAATAAACTCTTAGCAAATTACAATCTAAGTAAATATGGTTCAGCCTTGACTTAAGGCATGTTTATAAAGCAATAACAAATAAGGGTGAGTTGGACTAAGTATTCTAGAATTAAGAAAACCTCATCCACTAATTCACTATTAACTTCCTCCAATGTCATTCAGACAGAAATTTGGTATTTAATTAGACATCTAAGATATAGTCATGGACATTGGGGAGTCCAACTCCAAGCAAAAGACAAGAAGTGATAGTTAAGTGTGAAGCCCCTATTCCTTTCCTCTGTATTTCCTTAGCCATTGTTGTAAAACAGGTACATTCTAAAGGTTTGTGCTTACAACACAACAAATACATTCAGGGCTACATTAAGTTATGAATCAAAGTCCATGTTGACATTATTGGTCCTGAAATATTTATTTTTTTTTATTAACACACAATGTATTATTTATTGCAGGGGTACAGGTCTGTGATTCATCAGTCTAACACAATTCACAGCGCTCACCATAGCACATACCCTCCCCAATATCCATCACCCAGCCACCCCATCCCTCCCACCCTCCTCCACTCCAGCAACCCTTAGTTTGTATTTTAATTTTTTTTCTTTTAAGTAGGCTCCACACCCAGTGCGGAGCCCAATGTGGGGCTTGAACTCACGACGCTGAGATCAAGACCTGAGCTGGGACTAAGAGCCAGACGCTTAACTGACTGAGCTACCCAGGTGCTCCTGGTCCTGAAATATTTAAAGTGAATATTGGCATCTCCCTTCCTTGTTACAAAAATTAGTTTGGAATGCAGGCAGCATCAATCCTAAAAATAATGGAGAAACACGCTTATCTTCGGAGACAGCAAAATCATACATCTTGATGGTTAAGAATTCAGTTTTAATTTTCTATTACCTTTTTTGATTACCAGTTGAGCAAATCAAGCATTTAACTTTCTGTATTTATCAAGCAAGAACAAAGGGAGTCAATCTTTTTAAAATTCAGAAAGCCCTTTCTAGTCATATAGTAATGGACCCAAGAAGAACAAAGTCAAGTAGAACTTCAATTTTATCTTAGAGTCCATTCACTAAATACTGAAATACGGTTTAATAGATACCCATTGGTGCTTGAAGAACACAAGTTAATGCCTTTTGTAAGAAATTTGAAAATACGTACACCATCACAGGGTGTTAACTTTATGATAATCTTGAGTTTAATTCTAGAGTTTAATTCTAAAACTGTTAAGATACAGTTTAACTGCTATTTTTCCCTTTGACCACAAAGACCATAGAAAAATGCTATCAGCGCTGGGCAGAAATAATGTGTTGTAGCTGAGAAGGTTCATCTTCTGTAAATCGTACGCACTTTTATTGAGAGTTCTAAGTGTTCCCAGCAGAGCCACCATTCCTTCTTCAAATAAAGGGTAAAAGACATTCCAATCACAAATGTTTGTGATTTTCCCTTTATTTAATAACCCAGCAGGTGTTAAGAACAAGACTATTACTAAAGAAGTCTATTATATAGTTAGCAAAATGCTGCTGATGGTAAGCTCCTCCAAGGACTCAACTGAACGTTCCAGAGGAGGTATTAAACACTGGTCGCTACTAAGATTCCAAAGGCTAAAGGTATTACTTTAATGAATTATATTATCATGTGTCCTGGTGTTAACTCCTAAAGAAAAGTGCTAGTCCTTCAAAGTTACCAATGTTACTTCCCTTTGTGGACTTCTTAAGGACAGGAAACTTATCATTCAACACATACTACCCAATACCAAATAATAGGATTAGTACATAGCAGGTGTTCAATAAATATTCATTGAACAAAATTTTAAAAGTTCTTTCAGCTTCTGAATGAATCAGTTGAAAAGCAGAGTTGAGCAAAATGTCTGCCAGAGGAAGGAGATGGATCAGAGTTTTGAGTATTTCAGATTCCTAGGTCATGCCATTTTCTTATTCCAGTAACAAGAAGCTTGGAGAATAACTGCTCTAAGTTGTCAAGTGTTTGCCAGAGTGCCCTTTGTTTTTCAACCTCTGGCTTAATAGGAACTTTTTCAGCTCTGTAAGTACAAGAAGCAAGGGTTTTTTGTGGAGTACACAGCAACCTCCCAGAGGAAGGGAGGAGAATTTAAAATATCAGGTTTTCTTCCTATGAATACACCGCACAGAAGTTACCCACAGGGCCTAGTTGTGCAAAAGCGGCACACTGCTATTTTGTCAAAAGATTAATGTACACAGTTCCCAACCAGAGCTACCCAACATCAGGATGAGAACATTCACATCTCTGTGTAAGTTCCTGATATGCTCATATTTACAAGTGCAAAGCACAAGGGATATGTTTTAAAACTGCATTTTAATTAAACTTCAAAACGTCTTCCAGAAAATGTCATTACATTTTCCTACAACCTGGAAGACATTTAAAAACTGGAATACAAAATGTATCACGCCTGAAAAAATGGATCGCTTTAATGGTGACTCCTACTCCTTGCCAAATCTGCATTGCTTTGGGGTCTGAAAAGATCATTCATCCATCTTCCATTTGAGCAAGGCAATTGATGGTTACAGCTCCCTGGGTTGCCCCTGAAAAACTGATGGGAAGTGGCTACGTTGAGTCCCATGTTCTACAAAATAAATGCAGAACAATAAGAAACTGTGCCATGTGGGATTTCATAATTCTATATTCGCATTACTCTTTTTTTCATTCATCATGAGTTTTAGTAAAACCCTTGAGTCAATGTATAATACAAAACAATATACTGAAGAGTTGCATCATGGCCACCTACAGGTAAAAGAAACCAGAAAAGCAGGTACGTTTTCTTAAGGAGGATGTTTTTCTCTTCAGATGACACAGTAAGAGATTCTAATTGCCCTGTTCCTCAAGAATTGGAAATTTTATTCCATAACAACATTTTATAACATTATAACAACCAGAATGGTAGAAAGAATGAATTAGCCTAACACCAAGCCAACATATAATAGAGCTAATATTGCTTTTTTATGAGCTTGCACTAATCAAATCCACACTCTCTTATTTAATCCTTCCAAGCATCCCCTGAGGTAGATGCTTTTTGTCTCTATTTTACAGATGAT